TCTTCATATCTTTGTACCTACATTTCACAAGAGAGGGTTAAGTGTCAGGTTATATTCTAGTGTTTTTAAATCTCTGTGTAATGAATAGTTCTAAGAAACGCGGCTCTGATACCAACATAAAGGCCTAAAACCTTAAGAAAAAAGAATATATATTGTAATGGCAGAAGCAAATAATAATTAGGGGTTTATATTTCTTATACAATAGATCATGATGCTAAATAAGATTACGGGAATGTCATTTTTAAATAAGTTAAAATAACAGAAATAAAAATAAAACTAAAATTCTATGGGGTTAACCTCCACTGGCAACTTTGATAGGGTCTGAGAGGTCACCTTTACTCACAATCCTCCTGTTGTTCAAGATCCGAATCTTGGTATTTTTTATCTAAAATAGTTAAATAAGGGAATTAGCTACATTAGCCTAGTAAGAATATCACACTAATCACTAATACGGAAAATCGAATATTAGTAAAAATTATAAAACAAATAATGGAGCCATTAGTTTAGATAAATTCATTTAACGTAAAAATGTTTATTCCATGCTTATTGTTATGAGTTTTCAAAATCGACCTATGAAGACAATAATTCAAATGACATTTTGACTTCATATTTAAATGAGCAAAATAACAACTTACAATTTTACCTATTTACTAGTGTTGCTAGGTGTCTATAGGGTCCCCCTACGCGTGAACTCAATATCCAAGTTATCGATTAAATGGTCGTCCTTATACCCCGTCTAATAATGGGCGTCAAAACATACCACCACCTTAATACCCCGTGCAATATGAGGGTGAATTATACCTCCCAACACCTTCCGGTATGGAACTTCTCAGCCCTGTTCAACTGAGATAATGCCCATGATATGACTTTTTTGTGCATTGGGTCCGTACACCATGTCTTAGGGTATCCAATAAACCTTTCATACATATGTTCCACATCATCAACCAGTCACCAATTATATACTGATATTTCATATTGACAATCAACATCAAGTCCGACAAATAGATGATACGTAAATCTAGAAATCATGATTAGAATATTTATTACAAAACAAATTAACATATGAGGGCAATACAGTTAGATAAACTAAATAACTGAGAAAATAATTTAAAACTAGTAATTTAAAGCACATAATATAATAGTAAGCATTTTAGGTAGTATAAGAGAAAATGAACAGTAAATTATGATAAATATGCACTAACTTGCTACAGCTCACTAGTTACTTGTAATTAATTTTAGGATTTTCTAATTTTCACAAAATATGATGTTATTGATTATAAGTTTTAATTTATCGTAATAGAAAAAAAGGTGAGGGATTTTTACCCTGGATCGGTGTCCGAAATATTGTACTTTCCACTGCGGCTCATGGCAGTCACCAGCTTTCTTGGGTTTTTTCTACATAAATTAAAATACATGTCACGTATCCTCATATACCCTAAAAGACCAAAATAGGCGTTTTAAAACTTTTCTGGCCAATTTTAGGGTTCCGCCATGGCGCCGACTCTGCTACCCACGGAGATGATTCACCTCGGTCGGCCGAAAAAGGTAAAAAAACTAAAAGTCTGCTAGCGAATGAGGAACCTCTGCTCATATTTTTCGGCTCACTCGCTGCACTTTTTGCTCCAATATGGTTGTGGGAAGGCTCAAAATTCAATTTTGGGTGGAAAAGAAAAAATTTACCTCTTTTAGTGTCGGTTGTGGCTTCGGTGTAGTGGCGACAGCGTCCCTCCGACAGCTGGTCTTCCCTCCGACCACCCTCTTCTTCCTCTCTGGTTAGGGTTGTTGGCTAGGGTTTTTTGGGCCGACTGAAGAGAGGTTTAAATACCTCTCTTCTCTTTGATCTTAGTCGTTCATTTGCGTCGACATGGAACGAGGAGACTCGTTTGATCGTTGCCTATTTAGGCCAATTGTATGGGTGAATC